CCTGGAAAATTTAAGGAGTTATTATTATGTACGTTTAGATGATACAACCGGTAGGATACTTTTGCACGTTACTGTATAACATGTCCATATATATTTAACCAGTTCTGGCATAGTTTCTCTTCTTGCCCATAAGTTGCAAGAGTTGGGGGTGTTAAAGAAATTTTAGACGGGACTAAGCTAAGCTTAAATCACTCTAAAAGGGAATGCTTGTCTAAATTAGGAAAGTGTACAACGTAGTAGTACAGAATGTTGTAAAATTAATAGACGCGATTATTACATGTATGCAATAAAGTCTTATAAAATCGATTATTACATGTATATTGTTCAAGTTATTATTATTGCATGCAGTTATTAATTGCAAACTTCTTCACTGGATATCCGAGAATGTTTTCATTATTTCCTGAAAAACTGATAATCTCACGAAATGCATGGCTTTTTTTATATTTAATAGAACAATTATATTTATAATTTTTCATATGATAACCCCCTATATTAACATACTAATACAGTTTACAGTTATTTCAGCAGGAGTATATTCTCTGTACATTTTGAGACCATCTAAAGAGTGGTAATCCAGACCGTAATTGTGAATCTAAAGTAACAGCTAAACCATACAGTTCAAACAACACTACTATATATATCATACTTTTATCAAATTTTAAAGCAAAGAACTGTGTATCTGTCAGCCCTTACAACAAATTGTTAAAGTGATGTTATCTGATACTGTAGACCACCCTTATAATTGATTGTAGAATTAAAGTCAATTTATGGATTTATTTCTGAGCCCACACTAAAGCAAAGTCTGTCATCAGTCATTTAATTGACATTTGTCACTTGACCCAACCAATCACATTTCGACAAAATGAGTTCTGCGTCACTTCTACTAATTTACAGACTCGCGTTATTCTTCACCGACTGGCAGACCTTCAGCTTTGCGAAAAGTTAAGTATGGATCTTTTTAGTGTGTTTTTGTAAGCCCGGCGTTTCCTAAGCTCGTTTTATCTTCGAAACGGGTGCATACCAACGTATCGTTATATTTGCTTTAATGTGCCGATCTTATGTTATCTGAAGAATATTTTGGGTTTGAAAATGCAGAGTTTTGTCCCTGGCTTTTAGTAATTTTTTATACCCTTATGTTCTTTAGAATCAACATTATGGTTTGTATTATCGGTATCATAGCTTACTAATGGTGGCTTGTGATATTAATATTGCATCATTTTATTATCATTTATTTGCTTTGCAAAGCGACTACGTCGCCTAGCGCCACAGACTAACTCCGCAAGCCAATGCCGCGAGCCAGCTCTTGCAATGACGACGCAATCGCAAACTCGTCGTCACTCGAACGACGACGTAAATGTAAACTCATCATCACTGAGTGGTATAACCTAATGGCTAAATTGAGTCAAATCCGCTAAAACCGATGTTAAATCAAGCTAAATCCGCTAAACCAGCTGATACTGAGTGGATATAACCTATACTAAGTGGGTACAGTGTAATATAATTATATTATTTGTTATACCCACTCCATGATAATACTATTCTTGGTCAGACAGTAACTATTACTATCTATAACAGGACAGAATATGTAAAGTGCTTTATGTAAACAATTGACATTAGTTCTTAAGGCAATCAAGTCAAACAAAAAATAATCAAATAGCCGAGCATGAGGAGAAATTTTAAGGCTTAAGAAAATATTTCTGGATCAAATAACAATGACCTTCATACTTCATTTGGATCTATCTGCCAAAAAATCAAAATAACTCAAAACCCTCTTAAATCTCCCTCATACTATTTATATTGTAGGAGACAATCATGTTTCTCAATATTATATCAAGCTTTGTAAAAAGCTAACCATTTAGATGCAAAGTGTCATGCTGTGGTTTTCTGTGCAGAAAAAGAATCATATATCATACAGTTCATATGCAATATCACATTGTCTTCACTGTTTCTTCTATGATAGGCCAATTAATTATTGAGCTATAGCTAGATTTTCATTAACATAATACTAGTATTAATCTTAATATTATTAAACTTGAAACTCTCCAACTGTTCATATGGGAGTTAAAGCCTATTACTATCTACATGTGTACAGTATCTACTGAATATAGTTTAGAAAGTTTGTTTAAAGCTCTGATTTGTTGAGTGAGCTAATTTTCTGTGCCTATCTTCACAGTAGGTCTTTGTATCACCAAGTACATGTTCTTTTTCATAGTCAGCAAATGCTGTTCTCGTTGTCGGATTCACAATTCCCATTACTTTGCGGGTAACCGTTCCTTGAACTTTGAGACTAATACGTGATGAAATGGGTTCAACCACACGCAGAAAGATTTACAAAAGGCGAAAAAAAAAATGCTTTCGCCCACTATCATTCCCCGCTCAAAATACGTACCTGCACCAACCTGCAAGATTGTATTCGATAATCTTCTGATAAATGAATGATTGGTTAGAATGTACAGAAATATTACTATTACCATTACTGGAGAACGTCATTAAATCTACAACAGTGAACGTTTCACCGTTCACAAGTTACGCGCATTATAATCGCTTTGGCTTCCATATTTATTTTTTATTTCGGCGCATAATAATAACTCAACCCCAAGAAATTTTTTGTGGCGTTATACTTCTTATCGAAATATGCCCCATAAATTTTGGCCAATGACAGGTTAATTCCGAGTCTTGAAAGCACCACTTATCTGGAGATGCAAGTTCACGGGATGTGATCATTCTCTTTTGCGTTGGCAACTTGGATAAATACAATGGAAATAAGTTATTTGATGCTTATTTGTAAGATTTCTATTTGCATTTCTATTGCTTATATTCTGTTGTGTGCCCCATAAGCAAAGAAAGTTACTCAGCAATAGAAATATCGCATGGATTTTAGCATTTATAATGTTGGAATACCGAGTTTCACAACTTTTGTGGTAACAATAGTAGTCTCGCAAAGTGAGTAGACAACGTACCGACTGATACATATCCCTCGCAGATGATTATATATGTTCTATATGCTAAGTTAGACCAAACTTCTTGCAGTTATGACTTCAGTGTACTATGCACATAATGTGTTCGGTAAATTACAAATCAACTTGACACACGATGACTTTTTGACCCCTGCTGAGCGAGAAGTTGTTGCTTCTGGTATACCCCTAGTGAGGGCGATGGTATGTGAAGTCTCTGCTCGTTGTCGCTTGATGGCAGACGTACTTAGTAGATGCATGTTATCGTAGGCCGGGCTTTCAACAACACCATTGCTGACCGTATTGATCTATAATATACTGATGATATGTCAAATCGATGATCTTGTGACCGCTGTCACTGTTGCTATGGCCTTGTGGCTCGGTAAGTGTGTTGAACTTTCGGGCTTCGAGCTGGCATTATAGACACTCCTTTATCTTGCTGTTTTGTCATTATGCTAACATTTTCAACTATTTAGCCACAAGTTCAGTAATGTTTGGTCGATATGTAACATATTCGATGCCCATAAAATTATATATTATTGACGCTGTTCACGATGGATTGCAATGGTTGGGGTTGACGGTTGCCGTTCGTTATCTGATTCTGTTCATCAAGTGAATTAGACGAATAGGGCTTTAGCATCCCTATTAATATGTGCCATCATAGACATATGCGTGTATAGATTATTCAAGTATGTTGTATTGATATAGAAGACACCATCAATATTAGACATAGGGAAATTTTATAATAGAAACGCCAAGAAATAATCAACAAGAATACGACTAAGCGGAACCTTAGGAGTTCCAAGGATGAGCTGTTTATTGTTTTGTTTTCTTCAATAAATACTTTGAAATTTTTCCAGAAAATACCGCTTGTGACGTAGTAGATGACATCTCGAAGAAATGCTTACACAATACTCGCGTCATAACGACATTGCTTACAGTCTGTGCTGAGAAGGAATTACGAATCTGCTCATTGCTGAAAATAAGGGCCTGTAACGTTACCAAATCACTACCGCCCCACCTCTATCACGCAGCCAGATAACCGATCCGGGAGAAAAACCCCATTTTCAACCAAGTCGTCCATATACAGTATATATGAGATCTCGGTCGTGGATTCGCGCGAGTCGAACTCAACCATCAAAGTCTGCATATTGCATGTAAACGCATTGTAAATCATTATAACGATAACTGAACTCGCTATACGTTAAAATTCGTGAGACGAGGCACATTCCACTCGAACCAGTCACCTTTTACATTATAGTATGCGCAAAGTATCCAATGATCAGATCAGTCGTTCTGCAAATACGTTTGTACCGCACAATGTCTTTGCACGCTAACAATGGGCAAGCCCAACGGAAAAATAATTATATATCCGATCATAGAATTACCTCGTTTAAGCTGTTGGAATATTTATCTACGCAACAACTCACTACTCAGACAACACAGTACATTAGAACATTTAGCATGGTAATATACGACTACTGTCACAAGTCAAACCCATGTCTTTGCAGCATTCAAAGCATGTTACAGAAGTCCCAGCTGCAGCGATTATAGATTTGGGCTGTGAATCACAGTCAGTAAAGAAGTTCAGACTGCAATGAGTACGAGGAAGCCATTCAGGCTTGCATCAACAGATTATAGCTTAATGGGGGTTTCTTTTTGATATTTACACTAAAAGCTATATCCTCAAACCTGTAACTCGAACTTTAACGGGATTCTCATTTCAACCCATCTCATGTGAACCGCAGAAGTACGCATAGTTTCATGAAACTAATATTTGCTGTTTTATTTTTCGTCCTCTTTCATAGAACAACACGAAAATTTTTATTACGTAAGGGTGCACGGAAACCCATTCGTGCATGTGGCCTTCCCTATAGAATTACTTTATGATGATCGGAGGCCAGTAACAAAAATTGCATTGATTATTATGAAGTTTGATTTAATTAGAAACTTCCCTATGTATTCACTACTCTATTCCCAACATCCGAGTCACAAAACCGTTCGTTACCTGTCTAGCAATGCTTTCGCAGCTCTGCCCTTGAGAATGTCCTTCCTCCCAACTATCTTTTGTTAAAGGTCGTCATGATTGTTATATACTTGATTGATTGGTGGGTTATTCGATGATGTACGGTATTATAATTAGGAACCTTCTATTAAATTGGGCCTACTACTATTGTATGGCCAACTGAACCGAAGTTTTATTTATCGGAGTGACGTCTGAAATCTGCAAGGTCGTTTCTACTTTCGAAGAACAATGTTGAATTGACGAAAAAAAATGTAAACCATGAAAAATAATCGATGATAGTGATAATAAAGAAGATAATAAAATTTAAGTTTGCACCAGGGTGACCGAAGAATATACTTATCAATGGCTTCGGGACCAAGTATTTTTGTTTTTCCTATGCATCACTCTGTGCTTTCAAGATCGATCACAAAAGTAAATCCAATCATTTAAAATGAACATGCAGAGCAGAAAGCGGTCTTAAGAGCAATTAAATAGTGAGCTAGATGTTATCTGGTCACGCCTGAATATATACTTTAGTAGTATTTTTATTTTTCCAACAATGAATTAACCACCTTATTACCATTTATTAAACTGTGGATTTTACGTCATAATACTTATAAATATGCAATGCAAATTTGCGGATTTAGGTTAGAACAAGCGCAAAATACGGTTAAAGTTTTATATACGCAAGTGACAAGATTTTTTGAGGCGCAGTTGGTTGAGAGAAAGAGTGGTAATAGATTTCCTTGGGAACAGCTTGGCCAGAAGGGAAAGAGGGTCAGAAAGCTGTTGAAAATATTAATATTAATGATACTTGGTTAATGGCGTTATTTATTTGTCAAAATTAATATCACATGATAAATTTCCGTATTGGTATTTAATCTTAAACTGATGGATGGTAAACTAAATTGGTCGCTCTCTCTAACTACACACATAACAATCATGCCCGACGACAAAAAGCTTCCTTGGGGCATAAACGCACCAAAACCTGGCTCAGCAAAGGTAAAGCAAATGTTGTATCTTTTATGTATACCTTTCTCGTTGTCAGATCCTAACTACAGCCCGTTTCGGTAGAGCCTTACTAAAACCAAATTACAAGCATTCAGTATCGGAACGCACAAGAAGACGCCCTTTCAAAAACACAAAGAAGAATTAGAACTAAAAAAGAAGGCATTATTCTCATCACAACCCCTAGTTGTGTCTTACTGAGCTTACATTGCAACATACTGATTACAACTCGCACGAACGATCTCGCTTGTAGCAAGAGTCAGAGGAAGCTGCCAAAGTATACGCTGAATTTGTAGCTTCTTTTGAGAAAGACGACAGTGCAGGCAAAACTTTTGTGAAAGGAGAAACCATTGTGCCAAAATGTAAGTTTTCTTTAATATTGTGCTATATTTGTAAACTTTACAACTCACAGCTGTTTGGGTTGTGGACAGTACTATTCGACCATGAAGCTATCAGTAAGAAGGAAACATCGAGTATTGCAAAAGAACCAGAACTTTACAAACCGCAACCGCTCATATTTGCTCCTAAAAGCTCTCCGCAAGAATCCAAGGGGAAATTGAGTGAGGATGATAGTATTGACAAGGTTTTTATTTAAATTATCTCAATTGTGAAATGTTGACATAGAACTTGGCTAAAACCTCATAATTATTAAGGAAGAAGAAGCGAGAGAAGAGAGAGCTAGCAAGAAACGTAATTTGGATGCATTTTTGGAAGAAATAAAAAGGTCTGATATCTCGTTCTTTAGAAAACATGTGTTGGTTATATGTATTCTAATCTAAATTATTCCTTTTCCATATTTAGGGAGCAAGAGGAGAGAGAGGATAGACTTAGACAAAAGCATACTCGATTAGCTGGTGCTGGAGTGAATTCTGGTAAGTGGAAATGACATGTGGATAATCTCCATGATAGAAATTGACATGGTATTCCTGATCACTATAGAAGAAGGAAGCAGCGATGATTATGTTACCGGATCTTTGACTGTCAAAGCAGGTAATGAAGACATGTTGAATTAAACTTTGTATCGGTAGTGCAAATATCAGAATTTACTCGTTTGTTTGATTGTTTGACAACAGCGTTTGAGTATCGCCCAGGATCTCATGACACCGGAGATCCTCATACAACGAACTTGTATGTTGGAAATATTAGTCCTGAGGTAACCCTCATAACATAGTTATATTCAGTACAAACGTTTGATGTAAGACACTTGTTAAGAGGTCTTACCCATCAACAGTTAAACGAAGAAATGCTGTGCAAAGAATTTGCAAAATATGGTCCAATAGCTAGTGTAAAAATTATGTGGCCACGAACACAGGAAGAGAAAGATCGTAATCGCAATTGCGGTTTCGTCAGTTTTATGGACAGAGAGTCTGCAGCTCAAGCCTTAAAGAATATGGACGGAAAGGAGCTTCTTGGATACGTTATGCGGGTTGGATGGGGCAAGGCTGTACCTATTCCACCGAAACCTGTTTATGGTATGATTCGTTGTAGGAACGTTCTTCTCGGTAAAAATTATTTCTAACAGCAAGTGTGCTCGCAGTTCTGAACGAAGAAGGTCGTCCGCCACCAAGCGGGCTACCCTTCAATGCGCAAATGGTTCATGCCAAACAAGGTAGGGCTAATAGAGAGTTTAGCAACCATTAACTATGCAGTTCTAAAGTTCTACTTTCTATCATTAGGCTTTAATACCGTGCCCCCTCCCGGATCAAGTTCGGTAAATATGAATTGTTGGGACTTTACAATCTGTAGTTTTGCATTTCTGACAATTCATTTTAGCATGTTGCGAAAGGTCCTCGGCTCGAAGTGCAGATTGCGCGTCCCGATGACCCTCTAATTCTAAAAATTATACATCGTATGGTTGAGCGGGTAGTCAAATATGGTCCACCGTTTGAGGTATGAAACTAGGAGATATCTTGTGATATGTTCGAGTGCCAAGACTGATTATGGTATCTGCATTCGTTATTTAATTAGGCAATTATAATGGATCGTGAATGGAATAATTCAAAATTCAGATTTTTATTTCAGAATGACGTTAGTGACTTCACATTATTTACATCATGACGTTAGTACTGCTACCTTCATTATCTGAATTTTATGTTCTTGTAGTCCCTAGAGCATATCTACTATCGATGGAAGCTGTATTCAATATTACAAGGAGATCCCAAGAACAAATGGCGAACAGAACCATTTCACATGTTCGATGAGGGACCTATATGGGTTCCACCTGAAATCCCATTTGAGGAGGAGGTCAGCATTAACATGTTGTATATTAGAAATAATCTGACTTGCCAGTTGGTCGTTACTTATCTGTGAGATGATAGGGAGGTGACGATGTAGACTCTGATGAAGAAGACGAACGAGAACGTGAGCGAATACCTAAAGGCACCCTTGGACCCAAGGCGAAGAATCGCCTCGAGTCTATGCTTAGGAAATTAATATTTCAACGAGGTTCTATTGCACAAGCAATGGCGTTTGCTATTGATCATTCAGATGCTGCCGCTGAGGTAAATTTACTGTCTTTTTTCTTTCTCTTTTATTCTTGCTTTTCATCCACCCAGATTTGATTACTCGTTTCATGATAGATTGTGGATGTAATTTGTAAGACGTTGATGATTCGTGAAACGCCCATTCCAACGAAGGTTGCCCGGTTATATTTAGTTTCGGACATTTTACACAATAGTAGCGTTCCCGTACCTAATGCTTGGAAGTTTAGAGCCGGGTGAGCAAAATGCTACAATTTAGTGCAGCACAAACATATAATTACGAAAGTCGTATAACTCAATGGTCATTCTTCTTGACACAGATTTGAGACGAGATTACCAGAGATATTTGAACATTTGAATGAGATTTACAGATCGATATCAGGACGATTGAAAGCAGAGACATTCAGGGTAAGTGCAAACGGGTGACAAATACTACACACTGTAGAAACAGGATGGAAGTCGACAGACATTCCTTCCTATGTATTATTATCACCTGGCCTCTCTTTGAGTGTCATTCAACCAGAACGCAGTACATTTTAAGAAACATTCAGCGATCATATCGATAACAACATTAATGACAATCTCTAATACTTATAAACTAAAACTACTCAATCTGCTCGCGAAATTCCACGTTGGAATCACATGATGTTGCTTTCTCAATACAAACATTAATACATATCCAACAGCGGCAGATAATAACTGTTCTAACTGTCTGGGAGAACTGGATCGTCTTCCCACAACCATATATTGAATCTCTCACAAATACATTTATGAAGAATACCAAGGAAGGCGATGTTTCTGCCACTTCATCGAATTCTGATGAATTGAATAGCATGGATTTGGATGCTGCCAATGGTGGAGAACGTGCTCATGGCATTCTCCAGGTGAAGACAAAGTGGGATAACGATGATGAGGACGATGATAATGGTAACCACGAAAATGAAGAAAATGATAATGGTAATGGGAGAGATGAGATGTCTCAATCCAAAAAGCAGGCCGATAAAGATGGAACAGTGAAGGAGAATGTAGATGCAGAGATGGTTGTAGATGTAGATGATATTTTCGCATGATATTAATTTTATTGTTTTATGTTTATTTTCTTGTCTTGTAATGGTCGAGTGGCAGTATCAGTAGTAAGTAGTAGGGTAGTAAGTAGTGTATTAGTGATAGTGGTAGTACATTCTATTGACATTCTATTGATGATTATTGACTGTACTATTTCGTTGTTGTATATATATAAGGATAGAATTATCGATTACACAATAAATATTTTAATGTCCATGGGCGATCTGAGAGCACGTACTGCGTTTTTTAAATTTGCGACAAGAATAGTCGATAATCCCCTTCTAGACTCTTAGTAAATTCTCCCAGGTACTCATCTTCAATGGCAAGAAATTGATTCTCATGCAGATAATCCAAAATAATCGTAAGAGCTGTGAGACTGATATGGCTATCCATTGTGAAAATCAGAATCAAAGTCAGCATCGGTTTTCATAAAATACGGTATCGCGTCAATACATGCTGACCTGGACCCTCCAGTCTGTGTGCCCACTCCGTTGCTTGCAGCAATGCATGGCTTGATCTGGCAGAAACAAAATATTGAATATTGTTATCAAAGCAATGAATGCCGCCTCCCCAAGCTCTTAATGATTTTCACTCTCCGTTAGTACAAAATTTTCCTTGAAATATGATCCTAATAAACAGCTCACCAATGCTTCTAGCAATTTCGATGACCCAACGGCAGACCATAAGCCAAGCGAAAGATCCACTAGTAAATTATTGTTCTTGAATATATGTTTATACCGATTCAAATGGGAGATAACTGGCCCATAATCGTTTCCCCCCACACACAGCCACGCTATAGTGCAAGATTGAAAACGTTACTAGATGACAATCATAAATTACTGGCCGTATAAATCATTTAAACATACCTCGAAGATAACAAATAATATCTCCAATTACATTCATAGTATCCAGGCATACCGATTCGCGTTGAGGGTATGAAAGCCATACGATATACGAAATAAGCGGCTCAAGCTATAAATAATGTGTAATGTGTTAAATGGTTTCAGATATATTGTGGAGCCAGAAACCATGTAATAGTTCATAATCTTTATAACTAACATCAACCACGCGAGGAAAACTATTTCTGTCGAAAATGGCTCGAATGATCCAATAACGCCATTTGTTCAGAGACATTAAGAGTAACCAAACACATTGTTTCCGTTTATAAATCTCTGCAGGTGGACATTCCAAAGATATATTGTTTCTAATGGAGTTTATTTTCGAAATAGTTCGCACGCTGGGTTCTTCTCTTGATATATAACCAACCAATATATCCAACGAATCTGTTGATGACTGTACAAGTCCATGAAAGTTACGTTAACTACAAGTACTTGGTGTTAATAAGGTAATATAAGCCATTTACTTACCTCTGATATCAGTGACCCTCCTGTGGCAATAGAACGATCAACAATGCACTCTACTAAGCATCCCGCTAATCTAACCACGCGCCAATCTTCCATTTCATTTAGAATGTTGACCAAAATTTCGATAGATATATGTAAAAGACGCGGACGTGCAAATATGCCTCGAATAAAAAGACTAGCACGTAGACTCTTTCTTATTTGCCAGGGTGAGACGTAGGTTTGATCACTGGTGGACAAGAAAGCTCGAAAAAGGCTCATAATCTAGTTCAGAGAAGTACAGCCAATAAGTCTCATTGTGTCGTCGAAACAAAGATACACAAATCAACCTACCTCAAATTCAGAGGCGGCAGGAAAGCAAGCCCATACTCTGTAATGTAGTCATTTAGTTCGTATGAAAAATAAGTCACTCAAATGACTAACGGGTATTTTAGAAAACCCACCCGAATTTTGCTTCATCGTCTAATAATTCAAACGAGTCGTGTTTATAATATATTAATTCCTCTATAAAGGTTTCCGATAATGCCATCTTATCTTCGAAAACGCTACATGTTGCTGCCCGAACTATTCGACCGATCAAATTCAGGAAACGCGTGTCGCCCAACATTGGAATACATTTCTCTGAAACCTTTCTCAGGCATTCTGGCTGTGTTCGACAGTGTATAAAATCAGGGTCACCACTTGCAAAAAGTAGGCGTTTTTTGCGTACAATGAGAACAATAATTACCGAAAGAGCGCGCGAATTTTGCTCCATCATGTCGAGAAACCGCGTGATACTACCCACTGATTCGTTGACAATGGCTTGGTCCAGACTAGTAGTTCCCACCCCACAATAATCGGCAAGATTGTGCGATGCCTTATCTCGTCGATGATGGCTAAACAGCAGGAGACGTATCATTCGCACACACCAATCCCCGGACCTTTTTTTTTATATGTCAAATCAATGAACAAACAGAAACATAAGCATGCTCTTGTAAATCAAGTGAACAGTAGTCAATTTACTTGTGCAATTCATTTTGTGACTTGTCAGCACTGTCGATAACCTTCGAATACTCCAGAAGGCAGTTCACAAGATGTTTGCACAGTACGGGATCCAGAGCAATACCGTCTTTACGCTTTAATAAGCAGCCCAGTTAAGACAAGACAAATGTAGATTATTCCTTATACTCGGGTAACCTCAATTGCTATACAAGGTACACTACCGCCAGCTCTGTCAAAGTGTTTATTCCTTGAGGATATCGACTATTGCATTCCTCGGGAGTCTTACAACTAATAAGGCCCTTATTGGATAATAATGGTCAAACAATGTACGCTCCGAATGTAAACCAAGCCCGCTATGCAAGCAATACCTCATGGAGAGTATTCAGGTAAACAATCACTTTTTCCGATTCAGCGGTGCATGGCTGATGTCTCAAGCCTAAAAGCCAACTAGACACGTTATTCTGATTTGTGTTTCTGTCCATTAACTCATCTCTTCTAAACATGAAGTGTGATAATTGGATGGTGACATCTTTTACATACGCCACATTATCTTTACAGGGGTATTCATTGAGCGCCACAGACCGCATTTTGGTTTTTTGGCATTGACGATAAAAGGTGGATAATTCATTTTATCTTTGATTAAAGCTTTATGCTCTCTAAACCAACTATCATTATAGATGCAATATCAGAAATATTTTCTTCATTAGCTTGAGCTTTGGCTGTTTTTTCCGATTTTCTTTGACAATTCAACTATGGTCCTTGGTATGCCAAATATTCGTATATAGCTAGATTTTAATTATGTCTTTTATTTTTGCCTTCTTGCTTTCACTACATTCTTTCTATGTTCTCCACACGATTGACCAAAAGGTTTTCAATTGAAACCTAGGCCTGGCATTCTTGCAGGATGAGTTTTCAACGTAGAAACTGGCACCATCAATTCCTGTTTAGGTCAACAATATTGAATCGTACCAATATTACCCATCCGTCGAATGGTAACAGTATTTTTATTTTGTTATACCAGCATTGTACAGACTACTGTTGTACGTCTTTCTTCATCATCAAGAATACGACATTTCGTTATGTGGACTAAGTTAATAGCTTTTACTTATCTGTCGATCGTAACTTGAATTTTAATTAAACAGCTTTATATATTGTCTCGCAAACCAGTATAATCTTTTCTGTTCTAGCTTGGCTTTGGCTAGATACTCTTTACATCTCTATAATAAGTCTTGGGTCTCTTCTTCTCGGTAAGTATCAATCAACACCAATTCACGCACTTGATATACGCCGTAAGTTAGCCGATACATTTTCTTTCAATAGTCAACGTCTTTCTAACAATAGAAGCATTCTTACAGTTCCCATAATTGACGGCTATAATTGTTTGCATATTGAGCTGCCCGCCTAGTTGTAATTTGCAGAAAACTCGGCACATGCAATTATTAAGCAAATTCTGTATTTCGAACAATGCAGTTTATTATTAGATCTCGGGAAATTTAAACTAATTTTGTCAAGCATTATTTGTTATATTGCATATTGCTATCAAATAATATTGTCCGCATGCTTTTACTTCAGCGCATTTTCGATGCAGTTCGAGCTCGCAAAGTGAATTGCAAAAAATTATTCATTAGACTAGATAATATTTGCTTAACGTAATTTTACGCGCACGATAATACTTGCTATTATGATTTATCGACTGAGGTACTATCCAATGGTACATCATGATTCTTTTCGACAATTATATCTTCATCGATATCTGTCTTCACTGTCCGCACCAGCGCTGTTTCATGACCCTTGATTGATCCCTGACGAAAGAATATGCAATTTTTAGTAACATTACTAATGAAAATTCGAATAATAAGTACCAATGTTGGTGAATCAAACTAACCTCAATCAAACATAATGCTAATGGATTGAGAATCTTCTTATGGATCAAACGGTTGAGAGGACGAGCACCTACAAACAAAGAAGTTAGTTGCATTAATCGATTATTAAACAAAGTCTTACCGTCATTTCTTAGACATATTGAACACGTACCATATACTGTATCATAACCCTTATCAGCCAACCAAGCCTTGGCATGCTCGTCAATATCAATAGTAATGTGCTTATCGCTCAGTCGTTGCTGTACTTCTCTTAATCTTACATCCACAATATCTCTCAGTGCAAGTCGAGAAAGTCGATTGAAAATAATCTATTAAAAATTGTCATTCAGTAAAGGTTAAATACACATTCATACTTAATAAATATTAATCAACATCTTACCATATTGTCAATGCGATTTATAAATTCAGGAGGGAAATGTCTTCTGACTACATCAAGCACAGCAGTTTTACTCAAATCGCTCACTTTGCTGTCGTCTCCCGTCAAGGTTGTTGAAGCTAAAATATCGGCTCCGAGATTACTTGTCATGATTATTATAGTATTCCTGAAATCAACCTTGGGATTTTTTTTTTTTCAAAAGTTAAAAACAGAAATTAAAGAGGAATCATTTTATCAATAGTTGACAAGTAACGTTACTACAATAACAATACCTTTCGCCCTTGCGAATCGGTTATGTATCCATCATCCAACACCTGGAGTAACAAATTCGATACGTCTATATTCCAAAATAATCGACTCCCACTGTTTAATTGCTATGTCAAACTGTATACATTTTTTTGTCTGAATTTAAATACCTCTGTGCGCTTTCTCCATTTCGTCCAGTAGCACTACAGCAAAAGGTTTCCTTCTGACTGCTTCTGTCAATTGTCCTCCTTCATCATATCCAATGTACCCAGGTGGTGCACCGACAAGTCGCGTTACCGCGAACCTAGTAATAATAACAGCGTTAACAAACAAACTAATCTTTTTGTACTATCTTCATCGTCTGAACAATGCATCCCATGCTTACTTCTCCATATACTCGCTCATATCAATTCTGACGATAGCTGATTCTGTATTAAACAAAAACTCTGCGATAGCCTTGCATAACTCCGTCTTACCCACACCGGTAGGACCCAGGAATAAGAAAGAGGCAATAGGTCTAGTTGGACTTTGCAATCCTGCCCGGCTCAGTCTTACCGCTTCAGACACGGCTGCGACAGCTTCGTCCTGACCAACTACTCTCTGTTTCAACTTCTCTTCCATGTGAAGTAACCGATCTCTTTCACTTCTCATTAAATTGTGAATAGGAATACCAGTCATCCGAGATACGACCATTGCAATATCCTCAGCGGTAACATGTTCGTGAATTAGTGATTCAGGCGCCTCATCCTCACCAGTGTCCGCAGGAAGCTTTTTCTCTAGTTCTGGGATAACGCCGTAGGCTAGTTCGCTTGCACGAGTAAAGTTGCCACTTCGTTGAGCCGCTTCTAATTCAATACGCGCTTGTTCTAACTGAGACTTTATCCTCTTCATTTCTTCCAACTTGGCCCTTTCTTCTTGCCAAAGCGCGCTCAATCTCTCTGATTCGCGTGTTTTGGCCTCGAGTTCCTTTTGAATCTTTTCCCTCCTTTCTTGTGAGATTGGATCCACTTCCTTACGCAGTGATTCCAACTCGATTTTAAGAGTGATGATTTGCCTATCTAGGTTCTCAAGGACTTCTGGTTTGCTCTCCTGCTGTAATCTCAATTTAGAGCATGCCTCATCGACTAAATCAATAGCTTTGTCTGGAAGGAATCTGTCTGCGACGTACCGATGAGAATATGTCGCAGCAGCAACAAGAGCGTTATCACCGATGCGAACACCATGATGTACTTCATATTTTTCTTTCAACCCCCGTAAAATAGATACCGTATCCTCGACCGTCGGCTCAGTTATCATTACCGATTGAAATCTCCTTGCCAGTGCGGGGTCTTTCTCAATATATTTGCGATATTCATCAATCGTCGTAGCGCCACAACATCTTAACGTTCCTCTAGCCAAGGCTGGTTTCAATAGGTTGCCGGCATCCATGCTTCCCTCCCCCCTTCCTAACCCCAATAAGTTATGTAATTCATCAATAAATAAAATCAGCTTTCCTTCTGCTTCTTGGACTTCCTGCAGTATCCCTTTAAGCCTATCTTCAAATTCTCCCCTGAATTTAGTCCCTGCAACGATTAAACCGAGATCCAGCGCGATCACTTTTTTGTCTTTGATGCTCTCTGGTACTTCTGCATTAACTATGCGCTGGGCTAGGCCTTCTACTATGGCAGTTTTTCCGACTCCCGCTTCTCCAATAAGTACAGGATTGTTTTTTGTTCTTCGTGCTAACCTGGTGATATGTTGTGGGGGTAAATAACCGTATATTGAGGAGAATCAATTCGATATGAGTAATACTTACACTAATTGTATAATAAAATAAATGAGCAATATGGTCAGTAAAGTTATTGTGATCATTCTTTGTTTATAATATCATATATCTTAATCTAATCCTACACCTTGTATTGTTCTCCTGATCTCTTCTTCTCTTCCAATAACAGGATCGAGCTTTCCTTCGGCTGCTAATTTGGTCAGATCATATCCAAATTGCTCAAGAGCCGATGATCCTTTTTGTCCTATCGCGTTCGATGTCATACGGAATTGTCCTGTTAGAACAAAGCCGTCGACAGCACAAGGGCGATTAGTTTACAGATTTTAGCATCGTATGCAGTGTATATAATTCTTAATTTGTCACAGTTGATTGATTTATACCCGGTGGTATATTTCCGTTATAACATCTTATTGTCAAGTAGCTCGCTTTATTTTTCGGTATGAACACGTCTGCAACATTTGCTTGCTTAACAAGGTTCAAGCTTCTATGACGAAACAGGGTTGAACAGTTTCTAGCATGTCTGCTGGATGTAAGGAGAGAACTGAACGGTCTCTTTGTGAAAATTTGACGAGCATTGCCGATTATTTTTGACATGATGAAAGTTAAAGTGAGAAATCGGATAGCCAACCCATATTTAGATAACGATAAACTAATACGGTAGCACGAGAACATAATAATTATTTACAGTTATTATTATTATAGACCGGAAACATGACAATAAGGCCTCGTCTCGTAAAAGAACCTAGCATTAGTTCCATCTACATTTGCGCGAATTGCAGCTCCAATAATCGGTAGTTGTTCAGTAACGAAAGAGATCGATGCTGGCAATACAGGTTGAGTAAGGAGGTGAGAACTATACTATAGGCTTATGAATGAGAAAAGATAAAATATAAGCAGTAGTTTATAAAAAACAATACGAGAATATTATTAGGACACGACAACTATCTGTCAATCTATCAATGGAACTTTCTACGTTGACGATTTTACAAGGAGTAATAGAATGAGTTACTCTTTGCAAAAATGCTTGACTAATCTCTTTCTACAGAACAACACTCCTGATTTGTGGGTCTTATCCTTAGCCAAGCTAGAATCAAACCTTCCACGGAAATCTAAAATGGCCTTTGTACCTATTGTTGGTACAAGTATTGTTTCTTTGTGATTAGCATCAGCTCATTTGGCAATCATTACTTTGCTAACCTTTCTTTCCAACTCGAAAATGGCGTAAATGACGTATGCCATATATAAGTTTTCGCCCGATTGGGTTAATAAAAGTGGGCCGTTTCCTCCGTTCTGGGGCTATCTTTTTCCGAATAAACTTCTTGGCTAAAAATCAACGGAATTGTGTCAATGTAATAGTAACGCAAAGAGTTAATATAATCCGGGTATTTACTAAAAGAGGGTCTACTGCCCTGCAGTGAATAAAAAGGGGGTGTTTAGTAAACTAATTAGGCTTAGTATTAGTAGTATTAGTAATAGCATGAGGACAATGCAAAAAGTTGTAGCTTGCAACATGGTATACTCGTTTCCCACATTAATTTAGAAGAGATGTACGTGCTAATGTATCAGTATAGCGATTTCCCTCTGCCATTATGAATGGAATATCTACAAAAAGTTTTCATTCGTTCGGTGCGAAAACTTCATTTGTGTAACGAGAACAAAGTCAAGAAGGACAAAATTTGCGTAACATATTAATATTAATATGTACTGTACATTGTTAGCTATCAAAACTTCCGATATGTCGCTCGCTTTTACAGAGTCGACAAGATTGAACCACTTTTTTTTTTCCCGGTTGTCAATCATGGAAATATTGTGCCCTTTTTCGGCTTATGATGTGTAACCAATGTGTTCGGCTGAAACTACCCCGTCTCGGAAGCAAACCATAACGGTCCTCTCGCATTCTCCAGCATAATTGACCAAAAAATGGCTACGAGTTATGCAGACAAAATTAGAAAGTAAAGAATAAATAGAACAAGGCGGGTTAACAATCGATAGTAGGTTACATGCTGCATATGCATGTATATGAAAAAGGTGAAGAATGTACTTTTTGTAGCAGAATTTAGAGTTACAGGACCGTTTTCTATCATCGAGACATCTTAACCTCCGAATTCATGGAATGCATCCTGAAATGCTAAATGACTGAATTTACCACACTAATTTAAAACTCAAATATCAAATTATTTGATCCATATAAGACAAGACACTTTTGTTAGGACGGTGGGCGTGTATACGTGCCATTATATCGTATAATAACAATAATAATCATCTGCCAGTTTCGTGCGCATTTACAAATGTGTCAGATTTCTATATATATTGTCAGAGATATGTCATTTGACAGCTCTAACCTGCATAGCTTTTTTTACTATTATTTCACGGAAATATCAACATTGCATTTTGCATCCTTGTTCTATTCACTTGAATCTTATAAAAGGAGAGGAATTAAAGGGAAGTTGAAGTAAACGTAAAGGGGGAAAAAAAATAGTACAGAACAGAAAGACCAAATTAACACCCCACTCCCAATAAAATTAAATTAAGAGTAAATAGTAGTTGTATGAGGGGGAAAGGGTAAAGATGGTTGACTTTACAAAGAGAGGATTTTGTTGGTTGATGGCTTATAATCATTCATGCGAATTAATTGAAAAAAAAAATAAAATATAGATTATTTTACCCAACTCCCACAGCATCTTCACTGAATTAATGCATTCTCCTCCTTGCACTGCACACATCAAAACGCAGTCTGATTTTTTTTCGGGTGCATTACCCAGAATTTAAACAATTTTTAAAGTCATCTTCAGTTTCTGCCTGGCCCTGTCGGCCTTTCACTTTTCATATCTTATTATCATATTGTAATTACTCTTGGATCACCATTCTAAAAATGATAAAAAAGTCAGCGATAATTGTCAATAGTTAATCACCCGCGTCATCTAATAAATCGTTTACTTACAAATGGATGTCGCCAGCCGCATTGGTATTCATTCTTCTGATATATACGGTCTGGGCTTGTTGATGTATTATATCCCAAATGATACATCAATAGAGTCTTCGACGTGACAAGTGTCTGTGAACATTCTTCACAGCCTTTTCCTCCCAAAAGACAGTTTTGAAGTACAATGTCGGGCGGAGTAAGAATTTCTTGTAACAGCAAATCTGAAGAAATAAGCGCTTGTTTCCGCTTCATTATCAGGCCACTGTTATAATAAATATATTTATGTTAAGTAACATACAATTTAAATATGATCACATTAAACAAATAAATAAATACTAACCTTCCACCGGTTCCAACAAACACGCCGCAATGATCCGGTGATTTCACATTAGCCTCATACACAACAGTAAGCAACTCTGCCCATTTGTCTTCACATAACGGGAAATCGTCCTCCACAAGTGCAACATAGGTTGTCTTGAAATTCTCGGCAACCAATTTCATTGCCTTTGAGACATGTAACCGTTGGTTCAACTCATACCCATCTTCTTGTACCCATTTCAAGTATCTCTGTGCCTTCAAATCAGTCGAATATTTCTTCTTTGCTTGATCAAAGACGGTGTGATTGCTGAAATGAGTATATACAATCATCTGAGTACGAGTGTAGAAAGAATCCATGGATGGATCGCTCTCGAAATTATTAAGATATGAATCAATAGTCCTAATGAGATAATCTGGATCTCCGGGCCGAGGCGCTGTCATTACAAGGAAAGATAGGAGATATCTGTCCTTTTTGCCAATTTCAATTTCATTAAGTGTTGCTGGTTTAACAAAGTGTGGGCGAGTGTAACAGAAATTGCAAAAGAGAAGTATCGCGAATGTGACCAACAAGATAATGGAGCTTTTTTTGAGTCCCGACCATGTTCGTGTTAGAATTCCTCCTGTGCTTTTCTCAGGATTGGAAATTTTATACGTAGGGAGGAGACGATCGAAAGCAGTGTCATCTTTTGGTGTCTCTCTTGTCTGTGTTGTGTGAATGGCGATTGTGCCGATGAGACCGGTGAGAAGTCCAGTGACTGACCACCACAGAATGTTCTTCTGAGTATAATTAAGCATGCACATGAAAAGCTGGAGCGTTATTTTTCGCAGCGTTATTTTCGTGTGCCTTTTATCACCATAGTAAAGGATGTATTTATCGTCGATACTAAGCGACTGAAGAACTAGCAAAGAGAATAAGAATGGCGCTATGCCTACCAAAAAAAAAAAAAAAGAAAAGAAAAAGAAAAGACACGAATATTAAACGCGAGTTGATTCCTAATCACTTTCCTTTTCAAATGCATTACTGATGACGTCACGCATATTTAACAACAGCTCCACTCTTATTAATTGGTCAACCTACCTTGGTTGCACTCGTGTAGCGAATCGCTGAAGAACAAACTAGGTATTGACCAACCAGTCGACAATGAGAAAATAAATCCAATTGCCTGTCTCAGTATACAAACACCAAGCACTAAACTAGTCGTTGTACCCAAAAACTTTTTCGTCCCTCCAAGCATTGAAGTCAACGATTCCTCGAATAGACCCAAAGTCAATAAATTAGATGCTGCCAATAATACATTTGACATTTGCAAGGAAAACAGGAACGGAGACAATAGTAAGTTTGCTATCTCCAATCGGTGAATGACGAACGATGGTGCCGAACATTTCAACGAGATAAACCCGGTCCAGTTGAGCATCGATATTAGAATGGAAAGGAGGATTATATAACGAGTTATTATAGGAAGGGGCCATAAAATGAGAAGTTTGTATTTCTTCTTGTGGTGTTTACTACGCGATCTTCCGTCAGCGTAATTTGGGAATAGTGGTCGACTAGCCGGCAGATAGAGAGTATAAGATGCAGACGACCGCCGTCGTTTTGAATGCTTCTTATTTAAGTTTCCGTGACAAGACTTTACTGAAGATGTTGCGTGCAGAGTTTCACTCGAGGTAACTGGAATCAGATTAACAAATGTCCCTGGAGCACCCATTCCGTTTGTGATTCTGTCGTTCTTTCCCGTAGGGAGATCCATATCGGCTGGCAAGGTCTCCTGTTGAGGTGTACAATAGCTACGGGATGGAAGGTACGGTGATCGAGCCAATTGTGCATGTGCAGGAAACGAGTGTGTCGAATGCGAGTCCGATGGTATGTGAGATGGGGCAGCCGTAGGCTGAGGGTCGGGCGGTATTATTGATTCCTCTCCGGCAAGGTTGTCGCTAACGTTGGAGCCGTCGATGCCGTCAATAACATGTATTGAGCTTCGTCTGGATGCAGAACGTGATGAGGATTCATGGCCGGTGAATGTTTCTTCTTGAACTAACCAGAATGGTCCAAAACTTTTAAAGATGTAGATAGGGTTATCTCCCATTGTCCTATTAAAATATAAATGCTCGGAGTGTGTTCCAGAGTCTATATAGAGTTCTAACAATCTTTCGAACGTCTAATTTTAAGTAGAATTGTTGCCGTACACGTGTATTATTAGATTCTATTAAGAGTAGTTGTCCCCAAGTATGTATGGTGGTAGGAATGTATGTAAATGTCTAACTCCCTAATGGTTCAAAGTGTATTGCTCTATAAATGCATAAAGACTGTTGACATGGCTTTATATATTAAGAATGAGGATGTTGCAAATAGGTT